CACAGCTGGGTGCACGAGACTCTGGTCTCTGCTGCTGCATCCTGATTCAAACAAACCAGAGACAATTCAAAGACTTTCAGCTGGAAGAAAAGATGAATTCTAAGCAGACTGTCGGCAGCTGTTAGAACCACATATAAAACCAGTAAGAACACAGAGGATGATCTTTGCTCAGCTGTGTCACAAATGTTCATTCAGTTACACACTAAACGCAAATATATATATATGCAGATAGATAGATACTTTATTAATCTCTTTGCACGAGGCCCTATTTGTACTCTGTACAAGGGCCTGTAGGGCCTTGTGCTCAGCCCGTGGCACTAATAATGTTGGTGATCCTGACTGACCTGAAACAGGAACAGTTTAGTCTGATTTAATGTCAGAGTGAGATTAAAAAAATAAAAAAAGAAAGGCCTGATGTCTTTTTATACAGTGGATGTAAACGTCTGGTTTCAACTGGATAGATAGATAGATGGATAGATAGATAGATAGATAGATAGATAGATAGATGGATAGATGGATAGATGGATAGATAGATAGATAGATAGATAGATAGATAGATAGATGGATAGATGGATAGATAGATAGATAGATAGATAGATGGATAGATAGATAGATAGATAGATGGATAGATGGATAGATTATAGATAGACAGGTGGTGACCCAGACAAGGAAAATGGCAACCGCAAAGAAAAGGAAACTTTGGACTTAATTAGAAAGACAGTGAGTGAAGTATTGGCTGTGGGAATGTCAACACTTCAGGCCGAGTTAAAGAGAGACCTCTCAGAATTCCGTACATGTTTCCTGGAGGACATTAATAAGAAACTCGACGAGGTAACAGCAGACGTGAAGGCCCTAAAGCAACAAAACTATTAGCGTGGAAACAACAGGCAGGTAACACTATTCACAAAATAAGAGACCCTGTCACAAATAAGATCACTCGCAGTTGAGATGGAACATACACAGCATTTGAAACATACTATAAATCATTATAATCTCAGGAAAAAACGGTGAGCAAACACACAATTACTGATTTTTTGAATTCACTGGATCTCCCTGCACTAGGCAAAGAAATTAACGACAAGATAATTTCACCAATAACAACAAAAGAAATAGAAAAAAAGCCATTTCAAAATTGAAAACTAATAAATTACCTGGCACAGACGGCTTCCCCCCAAAGTGGTACAAATCTATGAACAAACACCTGCTGCCATTGATGGAGCGATGCTTTAACCAGACTTTAAGAGAAGGCCTCTCTCCCCCATCTTGGAGGGAGGCCTTCATATCAGTCATCCCTAAAGAAGGAAAGGACAGACTGAACTGTAAAGCGTATAGGCCTATCAGTGTTCTAAACACAGACTACAAACTCTTTACGACTATTCTGGCAGGTAGACTGGAAGCTGCAATGACCTTCTTAATAGATGAAGACCAAACAGGATTCATAAAAAACAGACCAACTCAAGACAATATAAGAAGGACCCTGCATATTATTGAACAGAATAATAGGAATAAGGCTCGTGCTGTAGTCCTCAGTCTGGATGCTGAAAAAGCCTTTGACTCGGTGGGCTGGGAGTTTCTATACCTAGTAATGAATAGATTTGGCTTCAGTGAGGATTTCATACACTGTATTCATACCCTTTATTCCTCCCCTACAGCAAGAATCAAGGTTAATGGTCATCTTACTCATTCAATAACTCTCCACTGTGGCTGCAGACAGGGCTGCTCCCTCAGCCCTCGTCTCTTCAACTTATTCATCGAACCCTTGGCCCAAGCAGTATGTCAGGAAAAACGTATACAAGGTATCNTCCACAAATCCTCTTACTGCTCTGCAGACGCTCAGCCAGCTTCTCCTGCTTCATCCTCCTCAGGAACAACACTGTGATCTGCTCAAACATCTCTCTGCTGCTCCTCTCATCTTCATCCTCCTCCTCATCCTCCCTCTGACTCTCGGAGCATTGTGGGTAATCTGGACGCAGAACCTTCTGCATCTTCTTCAGCTCATTCTTCACAGAAGTCACCATGTTGTCCTCCAGCAGCTGGAACATAGAGATCAGTGGATCATTAAAGTGGTTCATGGTCTGAACACGGCAGCATGGACACTGTTAGGACCTGAAGGATCCTTCAGCACTTCATCTGTTCTCGTGTAGTTCACCGTGAAGAGTCAGTTTGTACATGTACACACCATAAATATGGAGTCCAGCTCTGGTTGATGCTGCTGGTCAGACGGAGCTCTGGGAACCTCTGAGCTCTGCTGCTCAACTCTGTGGAGGGAACATCATGTTTAAGGAAAATAACTGACTCATTCATAATTAATAATGACTTATTAGCTGCAGCTCCACTGTCAGAGGAAGAAGTGGACATGAAGGAGTCTGTACTGTGTGGAGGGAGAATATCAGGAGCTGACGATCAGATCAGAGTCAGAGGCAATGACATGATGAAATTCCAGATAAGTTATCTGGTGGTACTCCTGATTTTAAATGAGTGCAGTTTAATCATTAAATGTAGTTAAACTACAGATCAAAACTTAAATGTTGTGGTGACACCCTCCTCTACTACGAAGCTCTGGACCCAGACAGGATTCATCTTCTCAGGAGAGTCAGATAAGAACAGAGTTCCGTTTGAAGTTCTTACCTTCCATCAGCAGGTTGTCCATCTTTAAAGACAACAGAAAGCGCCTTAGAGTGGTCAGACTTCATGGACACACAGCTGGGTGCACGAGACTCTGGTCTCTGCTGCTGCATCCTGATTCAAACAAACCAGAGACAATTCAAAGACTTTCAGCTGGAAGAAAAGATGCTCAGTAAGAAGGTCAGCATTTCATTCTGAGTTTCTACAGCACACCAAAATGCATTACAGTGCACCAACATGCAATAACTTGTACTAGCATGTCGCGACATGCACCAATGCCCAGTAGCATACCGATCAACCCGATAAACATGCACAAACCTACATAACAGACACTAACATGGACTGACATGTACAACACCCCAAACCCACTACTCCGCACTAAAACATGCTAACACACATTACATTCACCAACATATCACACAGCAGCAGATAGCGTGACAACATGCTGTGTTTGGATCAGATGTACAAAGTGGTCCAACCAGTTAACACACTTCCTACATTTTTCACTGATGAGAGCTCAGATTGGAATAAAACTGCTGCTGATTCTACCTGAAAACCACTAAAAAGAAAACATGCAGATCCTCTGACAGAAACTGAATAAATAAAAATTAGACTCTGCCAGAGAAATCTGAAGGGTTAACAGGATGCTGTGAAACTACTGTCAGTCCAGCACTGATCAGCATACTGATCCTGTTCAGACATGTACACATTCATCTGCAAGAGTTCTCACCTGCTGGACTCACCTCAGGTCCACTTAGAGACACTTTCCACCTTCATCTGTCGATGAAACACTGAGAGAAGAAGCTGCTCGTTCCTCCTGCGTCCTGGTTTGATCTGAAGATGCTGCCACGCCCATAAAACTTCAGCGTGCAAGTCCAGGCAGAGTGACAAGTGTTTTCTTTGCCACACCTCAGATAGAAAGTCAGTTCTGAACATTATTCTCTGGGCTGTAAATTACTCAAGAGCTGACAGGAACTTTCACTTTCTGTTTCTTTGTCCATTAAAACCTTCACATGAGTTGGAGTTGGACAGAAAAATGGGGGGAGGACATGTGGGAAAAGGTCATGAGCGGGATTAGAACTCATGACCTCCACATCGGGACTGCAGCCCTGTGCATGGGATGCCAGCTCAACCAGGTGAGCTATAACGGCGCCCCAAATGTGATGCATTCTTTGACAGGGAGCCAGTGGAGATTTTGGAGGACGGGGGTGATGTGATCACGGGAGCGTGTGTGGGTAAGGAGACAATAAAGTTCTATTCTATTCTAGATCTTTTGCTGTAAAGGTGGCGCAGACGGTGCAGGTCTGGTGAATAAGGTTCATAGAGCAACAGCTCAAAGCCACATCTGGCTGCTTCTGCCACCTTTGCTGTGTGGACAGGTGCAACAGCAGCAGCTCCAAGTTTTCCTGATTGCATATATATAGACACACACACACACACACACACACACACACACACACACACACACACACACGGTCCTCTGTATACTGTCTTAGAGTCTTGCTGCATTTGTTTTATTGAGCCAGTAACCAGGAGGGAAGAGACACCAGTCACCTGATGGACTGGTATCAGCATCAGGACCAGAGTCCAGCTGTTTACCACAGTCTGCGGAAGAGCACCTTACAAGATTATGAAATGTCCTAAAGAAGTCTTAAAATCAGTTGAAAGATATTTTAATAAGTGTCCTACAAATAAATAAAATATTCCAAATAAAGATTAGAATGTCAGAAAAACATGACTGATAATAAAATGTTTCTACAGTAAAATAATAAAATGGTCCAAATCTGTAAGAAAAATCAAAAATGTGTCGTGGAAACACGTTGCTAAAATGTTTGACAGTTAACAAGAAAATGTCCATAAAGCATCTGAAATATGTCCAAAATCTGAGAGGAAATAAAGAGTAAATAAAATATGAATGAAATGTCTGCTGTTTCCAGTTGATCCTGATAAAGGAGCTGCTGATTGATCTCTGAGCTCCACATACTGATGCTCTGTCCAGATGGTGAGCAGCTGATGTTGGACTTCACCATACAGATAAATAATAATAATATGATAAAGTTTCCACCTGCTGTGATTTGCTCATCTCTTCCTGGTTACTCCTGAAGTGCCCATGAGCTCTAAAGGTGGAATCCTGCTGACCTCTGACCTCCGGTCACATGAGCGGCGGCTTTAGTCAGTACCTGGATGGAGTTCTGAGCCGACAGAAGACGCAGAGCGCCGGCAGCTCGGAGCTCCGCAGCCTGGAGCCTGGAAACGGCTTCCCACAGTCCTGACACTGAAACACAGACACAGCTCACGTCTGTCAGCCTGCAGGTGCTTCAGTTTACGTGTGGTGGCTTTAAAACTGGATGAAAACTGGAGAAACTTCTTCATCTGAGCGTCGACCGTTTCTCACTGATCTCACATCGGTCTTGTGCAGTTTAAAGGTTCTGATGTTTCCTTCATCATCTGACTTTGTTCACTTCAGCTCAGAAAACTATGAAACCCACAACAAGACCTTCCCTAAGAGACCTCCTGAACTCTGACGTCTGTTTTATATTCCAGAGAAGTTCTTTCAGTACCAAGTGACCACTTGGTCAAATACAGATGTTTTCAGTCCAATGACTCTTTTTTCAGTTCAGGTTTTGTTTTCAAGTCAAACTCTCCTGTTTGGACCCAGACTGAAAATGGTTCTGAAGGAGGTTCTAAAGGTTCCTGCAGTCAGAACATGAACAAAGGTTCAGGTGGTCCTGCTAGTTCCTGCAGCAGAAAACCGTTTCTGTGTAATATTGTCCAGGGCCTCATAAACACCCTGAAACAGGCGAACAGGCAGCAGTCGGTTGAACTTGGTGACATGAACACTTGAGAACAGATGAGGAACCTTGAAGGACTCTGACCTTGAGGATGTGGGTTTCGGTTCCTTCAGTCTTCTTATTCTGCGTGAAGTCTGGGATCTCCTTCATGTTCTCAATGTCCCACAACCGAACCGTCCCGTCCTGCAGGTGATCAGTGGAGACAAGATCAGTGTGCTGCAGGTTCTACAGGGTTCACTTAAACTGAGGACGGCTGAAGACACAGAGCAGAACCAGAGGTCTGTTGTTCTGTCCCTGATGACAGCCAGTGAAACCAGCAGACCAACCACCTCTCTGGAGCTCAGACGAGTCAAAGATTCACCTTTTTAAAAACTCCACAGACGCGATTAGAGTTTACTGTTTTGGTTCCTGGAGACGTGTCATCCTGCAGGTTTCCTCTGCTCTACGTGTCTGACGGGGAGTTCAGGGATTCATCCTCACGTCCGACCAAAGAATCGCAGGTTTAAGGTGTGAATCTTGAATTCATGTCTGCATGATAAGAACCTGATACGTGGAGTCGTGGACGTCCTCCTCTGTTCATCAGGTGGCTGTTTCAGTTTCACAAAGATGGGGAACCTCTCTCCTCTAAAATTTCTTCTGCTGGGATGAGAACATCTTCAAGAACCAAAGAAAGACGTTGAGCTGCGTTCTACTGAAACACTTCAGGTTATCATGACCTGGATGAAGCTACACAGACACAGCTTTTAAGAGCCAATTTTCTGCCTTTTACTTCCTTCTTTTCTTCAGTGTGTTCAACAGCTGCCTTTGATTCACATGTAAAAGGCCTAATAACTTCACTCTGACTCATTCTGGACAAGCTTCCTTTCATTTTGGGTATTTTTTTGGCATTTTGAACTTTAAAATAATCAGTAGATTATTCAACAGTAGAAATAATTTAGAACCACAAAGACACAAGATGAAAGACTCCCAGTAACTATAGAGACACAACATCAGCAAGAAGCGACACAAAACAACCACAACGGAGACACAAAAAGAGACAAAACCATGTAACGAGGTAACGAGGTTCAAAATGACGAGAAAGTGATGAAAATGAGACACAATATGACAGCAAAGCCAAAGCAGTGACACCAAACAACCCTGAAGTGAAGCTTGAATAAGTCACCTGATTATTTTATGTTGATTGTTTTACTGTCATCAATCTCTGAGTCACTTTAAATGAAAACTGTCTAAATGTTGTGGTTTGTAGCTTCTTAAATGTGGATATTCTCTGATTTCTTGTATTTCAACATTTTCTGACATTTTAGAGAGACAGGATGTGGAACTGATCTGGTGTCAGTTTCTACCAGGTCCAGTGTTCAGACTGAGACACCTGGATGGATGTAGAACTGATCTGGTGTCAGGTTCTAGCAGAACCCAGATGTGTTCTTCCTCCTAAATGTCATGTGTCTATCTGCTGTTCTGGTGAAGTTCTGAGGCTCAGAAATGATGGAAAAAGTCCATTAAGGTGATCAATCTGGACCCTCCTCTGTGGACTTCAAGGACCTGGACCTCTGGAACATTCACAGTCTGAAGGTAGAACTCTGGTCAGTAGATAAAGGTTCTGCAGATACAGAACCGGCTGGTTCTGAGGGGCGCTGGCTGGTTTTGCTGCCTTGCTCAGAGGCCTTACCATCAGCAGAGAAGCTGCAGGAGCTCACGCTGCCTTCGTGGCCTCTCGCCAGCGTTGTCCCGCCGTGGGTTCGGAACCCTCCAGCCTGCAGGTCCCACAGCTTCAGCGTTTTATCCCAGGAGGCCGTGTACATGAAGCGCCCGCTGCTGGTGAAGCAGCAGTCGGAGACCACGTTGCCATGGTTACAGGGAAAACAACAACAGGAAGAGGGAGGACAATATCATAACAATTATAACTTTATTTGTATTGCACCTTTGAAAACAACAATTCACAAAGTGCTTTGACAGGTAGAACATAAAATGCAGGGCAGGGTGAAGACAAGTAAACCTAAATGATAAATAGAAAGTGCATGAAATCACATGTAAACACAGACCATAAAAGAAAGGACAGGTAGTTAAAAGCTGGTTAAAAGGACGACATCACACAAGGGGTTTACGAGAGAAGCTGAAGAGAAAATCCAGGATAAAAACAGATTAAGATCAGGAGGTTAGAAAGAGAGACTACAGGCAGTACAAATGTTAAAATGGATAAATGGGCAGAGAGTGATCAAACAGAAATCAGAGAACTTTAATGAAGGAGAATCTATAAAAGTGGGTTTTAAGAAGTGATTTAAATGCAGTCACTGATTCAGCGAGCCTTATCTCTGATCTCCTTATCTCACTCCAAAGCTGAGGGCACAACCCTTCATAGGGCACTCCGTGGAATACTTGGAAAATAAACATTTCAACCCTAGGCTGTTATTGGACAATACTACAAGATATTTTTACTTTTGTAACGTTAAAAAAAAACAAAAAAAACCCTTGAAATCAAGATAAATAAAGCTACCATATATGGTAACCTGCCCATCTGTGGTTAAAAAAAAGGGAATTTATAATAAATAAAAGAAAAAGCAACAAAAAATATTTATTTAGAAACATTTCAGTTTGAGGTGATGATACACAGCCAGTTACACAGCGTTCATAAAGTTCATCTAGTACTGTTGTTCTGGGGGTCGTGGTTTTGGCTCTGATCTAAAAAAAAACCCCACATCAACACGGAGTTCAATGCAAACCAGTACCAAAGCGTTTATAAAGTATCTGGAACATTGTATAGTGACCTTTTTCGTGAGGTAGTGATACTGGCACTGATATAAAAACTAAATCAAAGGTCACGTATCCCCATAAAGGGATAAACCAGATTTATTAAATCACATGGAAATCACGTTTCTGTTCAGTTTCATTGATCCGGAAACGTCTGTCGGCCACTCCCCGCTGCTCAGAGCTGACGGTTAACGAGAAGCTGACGTCTGGTTCTGAGCTTTGGTATCATTCATTTGTTATACTTGCATCTAAACAGGCTGTAGTTTCTAAAGAGCCCAAATTGTGCAAATTTACACGAGTATGACTGTGGACTGTAAAACGGCTTTACAACACACTGGATGATAGGTGGAACCAAATAAAGAATATGTAAAACTTCTTAAATGTGTTGTTGTGTCTCTACAGGTCAAGCTCGTTTGTCCAAAGTGTCAAAATGAGTCCAGGATGACTTGAAATGTGTCCAAAATGACAAAAAAGAGTCAGAAATGACTTAAAATTGATCCAAAATGACTCAAACTCAAGTATATATAGAACACTGGAGAAATGGAGGAAACAGAAATAAAGAATACGGACTGTTTAATATTTCTGTTGTGTCTAGAATCACTTTAAATGACTCCAAAAGTACTTGAAACGTATTTAAAACGACAAAAAATGGTCCAAAATGATTTCAACTGAAGTTTGCTGACCTTTGCTTCCTCTTGCCCACTGAAGGGCAAGAGGAAGCAAAGAGAAGAAAACGGATTGTTTAACGTGTCAAAACCTGAATGACTCAGAAGTTGTTAAAAATAACTCAACAGTTGTTCAGACTGACTTAAACTTTGTCCAGAATGAGCTATAAAAAAATCTAACACAGAACTAAGACGGAAATACGGGCTCCTTAACCCTGACAAAACCAGAACTAAAACAATAAACCGAAGGGAACCAGGACGTGTGACGGGTCTCAGGACCTTTCCTTTTCTGGTTCAGACTGTTGATGAGACAGTCCTGCTCAGTGTGAGCTCTGCTGTGACGGTGAACCTTATGCAGCATCCAGCGCCTGTGTTGTCAGAGTAAAGCCTTCATGGCATGACAGACAGAGGACCATCAGCTATTCCTCACCTGTCCATGGACACGGTGGTTTTCTGAGCCAGCAAGTCCCACAGTTTGAGGCTTCAGTTTGCAGACACCGAGGCGACTCTCTGGCTCTGCGGGTCGAAGCGACACTGTGTGACGGTGGACTGGTGGTGATCTGCGGGACAAAACACACCCAGTGACACTCCAGAGACGCTGATGCTGAGCTACAGCATCCTTCTGGCGTACCGCTGACGTGATGCAGCGTCTGTCCGCTGGAGGCGTCGCAGATGAAAACTACGTTCTGAGGATCTGCAGCACAAACCAGCAGCCGGCCGTCGGAGGAGGAGCTGCAGGAGGTGAGCAGGCCGGCCTGCCTCGACTTCCACTGCACAGCCAGAAGCAGAACGTCAGCACAAAATCAGAATACAGATGTTCAATGTGTTGATTGTGTCTCTATGGATCATTCTAGCCTCGTATTCTCCACCTCTTGCTGACCTGAAACTGTCATAATTGATAAAAACCTGCCCAGAGTGACTCTAAGTTATTTGGAATTATCTAAAAAATGTCCAAAATTATCAAAAAAAAAAATCCAAAATGACTTGAAATAAGACATAAATGTTGACAGATCCTGAGAATGTCCAAAATTAACTACAACCTGGCAAACTATACATCCCACGATAACAGCATTCAGACATCATGATGCTGTGGATGTGTCTGTAGTTCTGTAGCTCACATTGAGAAAAAGCATAAAAAATACAGTTAAAGTGAAAGTTTAGGACAGAAAACAGTAAAGACACTGAGTCTGTTATCTGATAGATAATGTCCTTTTCTGTTATTTCTGATCATCTAATAAACCCAAATATCTGTTCTGTTTAGATAAATGAAAGTCTAATAAAACTAAACTGGGTAAGAAGTTAACCTGCTGCCTTTATTCTCTGTTATTTTCCTGCCTGAAAACACAGAAAAAAAGTGTTTTCATGTGAACTTATAAAACAGAACAACAATAATAATAACTAGACAAATGCAGAAAACAAAGAGAGATCCAAAAGTCAAAACTTCTACCAGTAAAGGAATACTAAAACCACTCAGTGATGTTGTGAACGTAACCCACCACGGTTCAATACTGAGGTTTAGACCCTACAGTCTTATTTCTGCTGTGATTTCATCTCACTAATTTACATATTATTGATTCAAACCTACAGAAATGATCTAAAATACAACCTAACAGGCCTGTAACACATAGAGGCCGAGCCGCCAGCGTTCAGAACCACCAGACTGATAAATAAAACAGCTGAGAGCCAACTGGGTCGTAAACGGTCCTTTCTGAGTGCAGTTTGTTTCTACGTTATGTGAGCAGACGTGTGGAGCAGGTTGCAGGTTACCAGAGTGAGTCCCGTCTCCAGATCCCAGAGCGCCATCTTCTGGTCCCAGGACGCCGTCACCATCCTGACAGACACAAACACTGATCCTGGATCTGTTTGTCTGCAGCAGACTGTCACATCACTGCTGCTGGAGACTCCATGATGCAGCCACACGACTTCATTTGTAGAGAACTTTTCATCCAGATTAAACTCAAACTGCTTCACACAATGAAAAGACAAAAATAATTTTAAAAAAAACATCCCATAAAGAAACACCATCCATCCATCCATCATCTCTACACCTTCATCCTCACCAGGGTCATGGGGGGCGGAGTCTATCCCAGCTGACTCAGGGTGAAGGCAGGTTCACCTGGACAGGTAACCAGTCTATCACAGGGCTACACTTAGAGACAGACAACCAAGCACACTCACATTCACACCTACGGACAATTTACAATCACCAATTAACCTCAGCATGTTTCTGGACTGTGGGAGGAAGCCGGAGAACCCGGAGAGAACCCACGCTGCACGGGGAGAACATGGAGACTCCACGCAGGAAGATCCCGGGTGTCCTCACCGGGACGGCAACCGGCGACCTTCTAGCTGTGAGGTGACGGTGCTAACCACTGATACACCGTGCAGAACCAAACAGAAGAACATGGCTGTTTACCCCGTTTACTGTCACATTTACACTCTGACGACTGAGTCGAAAATGACTCGAAACGTAAAGTTACTGCAGATAGAGAACCAGTTGGTTCTGAGGAGGTTCTGGAGGAACTCTGGTCAGATTTGGTAGATTTCATATGAGATGGTTCTCCTGTCCAGCAGGTTACAGACCTGCTAGAATGTAGCTGACTGTAAATCTCCAGGTTGGGGAGACTCACCTGTTGCTGTTGGGGATCACAGCGACCTTGCTGATGGTCTTACTGTGGACTGCATCAAACGTCCTGAGAGGTCGACAGCTGTCCACGTCCTGCAGAGGTCAGAGGTCAACACAGCTTCATCCACATGGAACTACAGAGAGCTGCTGCCACTGTGTTCATGGAGCAGCTTCCACCACGCTTAGTGCAGCTCAACGTGGTCCACAGGAGATGGAAGGTCAGAGCAGGGAGAGGACACAGTATGGTTAGAGTAGAAAGGAACAAGAACAATAATGACACGACATCAGCAATTTAATAAAACAGATTAAAAGGACCCAGAAACAGAATAAAGCGTACTGAGATAAGAACAGTAAGAGTTAGCAGCAGACTGATGGAAACACGATGGACAGGAACATTTAGGATGAAGCTCAGCGTTCTGCAGGGTTCTAGTCCCTCAGTATGTGGAACATGTACAGCAGCAGCAGTACTAGTATCAGTACTATTAGCAATAGCAGTACCACCATCAGTATAATTAGTATTAGAAACAATATTAGTATTATCAGTATTAATACTACCAGTGCTACCAGTACTACCAGTATTACTACACCAGTACTTGCAGTATTACCAGTTTTACCCAGAGGATGGTGCTGCAGTCTGAGGAACAGCTCAGGATGAATCTGTCGCTGCAGCAGAATCGAGCTGCTGTTACTGAGTCACTGTGAGCTGGAAGCAGCTTCACTGGAACCTGCAACACGACAACACGACAACACAACACTGGTCACTGCACAAACACAACAACACAACACTGGTCACTGACTGTACTGAACAGACCACAGGAGGCCTGAGGGCCTCTGGTGTCTCCTTGTGCTGTTTTTTAAATGCTTGTGGTTGTGTTGTGTGTTAGTGGTCATGTTGTGTTGTGTTGTGGTGTCTGTGCGGTTCCAGTTCTAACCCTGTAGCTGGTAAACCTGTTCAGTATCTGTCATGTAATTCATGAATCCCTCTGTTTGAATATAAAACCTTAATGTTGGACAAACTTTGTCAGATAAAAGATAAAACCAGTATAATCTTGTATTTAGACTGCAGTTCTGCTGTCAGAACAGAACAGTGTTAAACAGAAACATTTAGCTAGCTCAGAGTAGTACCAGTACTACTGAGTATGTACATATTTATCAGTAAAACTACCTCTCAGTCAGACCTTACTGAAGTATTTAAATACCTGCAGTGAGCTGGTGTTTAAAACGAAGCTGTGGCTGGTTGAGGGTTATTTCTAACTTTAGATAACTGCTCTGAGTCTGTTCTTTCCTGTTCTTAAACACATCCTTAGCCGCCGAGCTAACATTAGCCGCTGAGCTAAGGTTAGCCGCCGTGCTAACGGTTAGGGGTGTTTTACCGGAGGCTCGGGGCGCCACCCTCCGGCGGCTCCGCTCTGCTCCTCTCCGCCTCCTGAAGGCTCCTCCACCGACAGAGGGTCCAGCTGTTTAGACGACATTACCCCAGACTTTGGGTAAAACGTTTGTTAGGCTAAAGACGCTTCAGCTAGCCAAGCTGTCAGTGGCGGCAGTTACCATGGCAACACTACCACCACCGGCGGGAAGCAGTGCTGCCTTCAGGAACGGTCGGAAAAACGGCTTCTCACAGTGTAGTGAAGGGTTCAGGGGGAAACGGAGCCTCCGCTGATGAAGACAACTAGTTTTAAACTAATTACACTAAATATGAATCATCTTCTTCGTGTTTTCAATGTTTTACATTCATTTAGTACGTCATGTTTTCGTCTCCTCATGTCTCTCCTTAATTGTTCCAAACAGCCCCTGAAGAGTCAAAACTACACAACAATCAGCAGGAAGCATCAACAGCATCTCAGGATAGGACCTTAAAGTCAAGGACCTTAACACGAAATACCAGCATCAAAAAACCACCATAAAAATATGACATATTCTTGTTTTCATCCACCTTCACTGAGTGCGTTTCAACCAACATCCATCCTGATAACAAACAAATAGTCATTGATTTTTGGGATTGTTCGTTTCCATGTCAATGATTAACAATCAAATATTATATATTCATATTTTTTCCACTTTCAAGATTCTTGATCACAATCTTCCAAATATTCATTCATTTTCAGGATTTAAACCTTTTAAGTGCCAGTTTGTTTACATTCAGCCTTGTTTTATGGAAAGAAAACTAAAAAATGGTTTTTTTCAAACAAAACTTTTTTTTTTTTTTTTGGGGGGGGGGGGGGGTTTACATTGTATATCTATATAATAATACATGAATTATTACCAACAACACTGATTCTGATGTGCAATTTTCATGCAGATTTTGAAAATAAACTTACATTGAGGACTTTGACAAAAATGACTGCAATAAAAAATTTAAAAAAAACAGCCATAAAAATATTTTATATTAATGTGATCTTCAGTTTTCACCAATAAAACTGCTAAACCAGCAACAGCCTTGATCATAACTAATAAATATTCACTGTCAGGACTTTAACTCTTCCCTGTTATTTTGTTTTAAAGCCACTGCTGGTTTTTATGATTTAAAAAGTAAAAACAACAACAAAATAACGATATTGTCTATATAAGAAATGCTCAAGGGGATTATTTTTTGGATTATCATGATGTAGGACACGTTAGTCATGAGCAGCAACACATCAAAGAAGTTCACATCTCTACAAACCTTACGAACCCGAACCCTTCAGGACAGAAACTTCAGCGTCGCAAAACACTAGAAAATCATTCTCATTTTTGTAAAAAACAAAAACTGAATTATTTTCCGTACACTAAATCCTAAGAAGATTTTTAAAGCTGTCACAGTGATCAGCAACAGCAGGTGTTAAATATGTTCTAAGGCCTCATTATTATTGGTGCAAGTCAGATTTTAAATAAATAAAAACTCACACTCTGGATGTTAAAGACAAAAATGCTCCCATCGGTATTATATTCCACTTTGACTGATTTAAAACCTTCAGCCCACATCATCGGCACCAAGTCTTCATCCACTCTCTGGGTTTTAATGCTTTCAGTGTTTGTTCACATATTTCCACTGTTGCATTGAAGAAAATGAATTCTTTTCCATCCACTAAATGCTCAGAGGACTTGTTGATTATCAGATGAATAAAAACTCACACTCAGGACCTTAAGGACACAAACGTCCCCGAGGCTGCACGACGGTTAGTAATCAATGTTTTATTCCATCATTTAAAATGACAGCAGCTTTTTAAATCGATGTGCAGTCTGCTGATGGACGTCCTCATGGAGGACAAAGCTGCTGCTCATCACCAGGTCTGATGGGAACGAACGCTCTTCAGTCTGGAAGCAAAGGAAACACATGAAAGGATTCACATCAACAACTACACACAGGTCAAAAAACAAAGAAATGGAGGAAATGTTCAACGACATTCAACGTCTGCTTTACTTATTTCTTAAAATCACTCTTTTTTTAGACTGAACTGCAGTTTTTGGGGTAAAATTCTTGAGCAGCTGCTTGTGTTCAGAAACTAAACACAATCAGGATGCTTGAGAAAGTGCAGTCAGTGGCTTTAGACAGTTTCATCCATAAACGGCTCTGATTCTCTGACGATGAATCAGTGAAACAGCTGGATGCTAGTTCACCAGCTGATAAGTCATCGGTGAACGTCTGCAGATGAAACTCCGTCATAAGGTGAGTCTCAGGTGTTTCTGACCTTTTCAGCAGCTCTTCCGTGGACACGTGTCCGTCGTCGTCGTCGTCGTCCTCTGAGCTGCTGTCCGACGCCTCCTTCTTACTCTTCTTCTGCTGCTTCACCTTGTGTTTGTGCTTCTTCTGTTTCTTCTTCTGCAGACAAAACAGAAGCTTCAGTCGAGAGAAGCAGCAGCTGCTTTCATCTGCCCACCTCACCGTCACTGCTCTACCTTCTTGTCCTTCTTGTGTTTGTGCTGCTTCTTGCTCTTGTGTTTCTTGTCTTTGCTCCTCCTGCTGGGTTTCTGCTCCTCGCTGACGGCGCCTCCTCTGGCTGAACAGGGGAACAGCAGGCGGAGGTTAGTCCACATTTGTACAAACACATCTGGTTTTCCTTTGAATGTTGCCCCAAGTCGAGTTGTTTGTGTGACAGTCAGATCAGGAGAAAATATTTAAGTGAACATTTTAAACGCTGCACAAAAGACCTGAACAACCAAAGTGTGCAGTTTTATGTCAGATATTTATAATGATTTCTGTCACAATCTGGTTATTTAGAAAGCTGCAGCAAGTTCCTGCTGTTTTGTGAGAGTCCTCGTGTCCCTGACTTTAGGTCTCTGGCCTTACTTTGGTGGCTGAGTTTACCTGATTTTAAGGACTTCTGAACCCTCTGAACCAGAGGGAAGGTGATGATATTTATCAAAACGCCATAAAAAGTACAAAAACACACCATTTATGTTGAAATAACCATTTGTGACGTGCGTCTCCAGGAGGAA